GGTGGGCGGCGCTCTGAGCGGGGTCATCTGGCAGTCTCCGGCCACCTAAATTAGGACCCGGAGACTGCCAGATGACCCCGCTCGGAGCGCCGCCCACCGGAGCAGCAGTGACGCGACGCTCGGCGAGGTAAGTAAGAAGAAACCTGACCACTTTCCATAGTGCTCGAGACACTGACTCGAGTATAAGCCGAGGGGGGGGGCACTTTTCAGCAAAAAAAATGGGCTGAAAAACTCGGCTTATACTCGAGTAAATACGGTATATACACAGTATAAGCTCATTGTCCAGCTTCCTCTATAGCCACCTTTATGATTTAGAGATATAATATTGGTTTGTGTAGCTGTATCTTTAAAATTAGGTCTTTTGGGCATGCATGCTCAAATCTTACATAACTATAACGGCCTGATAGCTGGTTTAAATAGCCATTACTGATCAATACAGTTAACTCTATACAGTCATGGTTAGGAATTGGTTTGGTAATTATCCAAACAAGTACAAGTATTTTTAAAGTACCTATGCACATTACATGCTCATTGTCTGATACATGCTTACCTCTTCAGAAGTGTGGTTACTAGAGACAATCTTAGCAAAGTCTATAGAAAGCAGAAGATGAGCACCTTGGCAGTGGGTACTTGACAGGATCGCCGGTGAACATCTAACTGCTGTTCACAGTGTATATCAGCAGTAGTGCTTGCAAAGTTCAGTTGAATCATTGTTGCAATATTTTAGCTTCCATATATGAGCTTGACTGTAAATTATTTTTAGCTCATGGTAACTTTGGTATATCTGGTTACTGAAGCCAGGTTGGTCTGCTTGATCTTAATGTTTGTGTGTCATTAGTGCAAATATTGCCTACATAAACAGATACTTTCACCATACCTTGTAAAAACCTCTTCACTTCAACCATGTAACAAGAAAGTATATATCTTGTCATACACGACCTGTTGACAGACAAATGTTGTTTTAGATCTAATTTTTAGAATGAAGTCTGCATGAGACGCACTCAATGTTCCCATCTGGTTGTTTAGCATGCATATAGAGTGTCATGAGGCAATATCCCATTATACAGTAGCTTCATATGCCTGCATTGCATGTATGGCGAAATGTAAACAGTTTTGTCAGCATTGTATGGACGCCTTCAGTCTTCTGTTCTCTGACCACATGTATGAGATGATCACTGCCTGATCAAATCGTCATGTCCATGGACACCATCAGACTCTGCCAGAAATAGAATCAGCCACTTTGCATAATTTTGGCTGATATTTGTTGTTTTCTCTTGAAATAATATTAATTTGTTTTTAATACTTAATAAATAATAATTACATTAAATAATAATACATTATAATAAATGAACTTGATGGGTATGTTTCTGCTTTATACACACCGAAATACCCTGATTTGTTTTCTTGGCATTACAAAGTATTTCAGCTTTGGATGCAATGTCCTAGGGAATCCGTTGTTGCTGTAAAATTCAGATGGCTTGATAAATACAGCATCTGTCTCTACATTGTTTGCCTTTTACTGCCATTGGCAAATTAGCAAATGTTTCAAGCTCTAAACTATGTAAAAACTGGAAGTTCTCTCTTTGCAATTCACCTTTAGCCATAATTAGGGGATTATAGATAAACATGGCTTCCTTATGCATTGTTTGTCACATTATGTTTTTACCCTTTGTACTTTTGTTATCTGGCTTACATTTTCTAAGCCATTTGATGAATAGTTGAATGTTTGCCCTGTGAAATCACTTTAAATACTGATTTCTGATTTCTTATTCACACCATATGCAGCCTTAACCGGAGCAAATAAATTGTGATTTTCAGGTTCTCTGCTTATATATTTTGGGTCAATTTTAATGGCTGTGTGGGTCATATCGTTGTATAGCCTGTCTGTCATTATGATGTATTTCAGCATAGCAAATAATGTTTCCAGTTACATTTTGTAGAGCATTTATTTGCTCCTTTAATACATGCATAACCTAACTTGTCTCTAGATGGTGATGCAGTTGTTAACTGTAGAATGTAGGCATAATAATTATTTCTCTCCGGCAAAGGAGTTTTCTGACCCTGAAGTAGGTTCATCAGATTGACAGTATATATTTTCTTGACTGTAAACATGGCTATTGCATGTACAAATATGTTTATCCATGTTATTGTAGGGTTATGTTTCTTAGAGTATCAGACATGTATGTCTCATGAAACACATTCTGTAGATGGTACACAATAAAACTCAGAATCTATGTGCAGGACAGCCTGTATGCTTACACGAGGGAAAAAACTTTTACTCTTTGTTAAATATGTGTAGTATGTGCCATGATTAAAAAAAATAGTATTTCAGCCACCTGGATCATTACACAGTGTTTTAAATCAGTGTGCATGCTGCACCTAGTACTCCTGGCTCTGCAGCTTAACTTGCTCCTAGTGAGCCTGAAAACACTGCAGCCAATTGGTGGGAGATCATTGAACTCTCTTTACTAGTGATAAGTGAATGTACATGGGTTCCATTTATTGACCATTGGTCAAACTCATTGTAAATTCTGCACTTGAAGCTGAACTCCATTGAAGTCAATAGGG